CCCCCCCCAATTAAGTAAATGCACGGCCAGTCACCATTAGCACCAGAACGTTGCCTCTTGTTGATCTCTATATCACAATAGTTCTTTGGCCAAGAGTTCCTTGTTAGTCAAAGTCCAACAACGAGTCCGGATTAACTTGCTTGACCTGTCACTTAAAACTGATTCCCTCCCCGAGCTATTCCTTACTTCAAGTCGCTAGTTAAGCAAACAGAGAGATACACTCCTTCCAAGCATTCCTGGGACGACTCTGTTTGTCAGATCCATTGTAGGTAAGGCTTCCAGGCGCCAGCGTAGATGATCTTACTAATGGACCTTGCCCGAGAAGACTCGTAACTTAACGGAGACCTAAGTCCACAGAAGGGCTGGATAAGGGGGTCTGAAATTATAGAGTGCCAGTGTTATGATAGTTCGATTCTGGAATCCCCCAGCCAAACTATCCTATCATTAAAAACAACATGGGCCAGGTTGTCTGAACCACTGACACCTATTATGAAAACACTGAGCGTGGACACACTTCTTAGTACAGCATTGACGATACATTCGCTGAATGCTTAACTGCTGCTGTCAAGGGCTGCATGAAGGGTAATATTATTCACATACACACACACAAACACACACACACACACATACACACACGCGCGCACACACACATAAACAGTAACACAAACACACATACACATACAGAAAATCCTAATATGTACACACGTACATACATATACAATCACAAGTGTAGACACACAAATACAAGCACATATACATACATATTCGTACACACACAATAACTATTACATAAAAACTCACCAGCACCTGAGCTAAGATTCATCTGTTCAGTATCAGGTATCACTGAAAAAGTATCTAAGCAATTTCACTTTCTGATACATATCACAGAACCACAATGTTTCTTGTCTTTTTAAAAAGCTTGAGTTCTCGAAGACTGTCTACAGTGCACACGCCTAATATGATATTTATTATATTACTCTACTAGTTTGGCACCTGTGAAATATTCTGATCGCAAAATCAATATAAAAAAAAGGAATAAAGGAAAATAAATTATTATCAAAGCCCTTTTCAATATAAAACACGATGTAACTTACAAGTCTATCAATTACAATGAATAAAAAACGATCATACAGTTACTACTCTAAAAGAAATCCTCTGAATGAATTATACATTTACACTCCTTTGGGAGCTCTGTAAAGATGTGAATGTTAATGAAATTGATTTTTTTTATTGTATTCAAAGAGCAAGTCGATTGCCTCTCCACTTTCAAAGAAAGCGTGGACGGTCTGGCCTCTTTTGGGAATTGGAAATACTCAAGCCATCTTCGTTCGTTCAATAGAGAGTTTCCACTGCTCCCATTCATAAAAGTGCGCTTAGAATATCTGTTTACTTAACCGAAACAACTTTTGGCGTATTATGAAGGGAGGTGGGTTCACTTGTTGTACAGTCTCTTTCTCTCTCTCTCTCTCTCTCTC